CCGGATTTCAAATTGAACTTTGTATAATAGCAATTCCCACCCAAACCATGCAATAGTTCTTCCGTTATTGGCTGTGAAAAAGAGTCTTTCTTCGTTACAGAATTCAATTTTTGGTAATCGACGAGAAAACGAATTCCATCATCTTTCTTCTTGTGAATTAATTACTGGGGATGACCACGGTGAATTGAATGGATGAATCTGGCCATTTTGCATCATTTTTTGAATTTCTTCTTGCATTTCTCGGCGCTGTTGAATTATTTTTGGGTACGGACGTGAACTACTTGGAGACTGTCATCGGTATTAATTATATGTCGAATGTCATTGCGGGCTTGTGTTAGTTTGGAGATATCGAAGATTTGTGCGTGATTATTCAGGATTTGTCGAATTTGTTGCTTTTGAGAAGGATCTTTAAAATGGTCGGTTAGTTTATCGAATGTGGCTGAAAATAAGCAAATTGGGTTGAAGAAAGATCAAATTTTGTTTGAACCACAATGGACTCTCGAGGAGGTATGGGGACAGAATTCAACAGTTTAAGATCTAATTCGAGAATGTCAATTTGTTTCTCATATGGAATAGAAGATCGACCTTAATACGATCGGCTTTCGTCATTCAAAAGAGAACAGTTTCATCTGTATCTTTATAAGCGAAACCTTTTCTGAACTTCTGAACTCAACAGAGTTGCACTGTTTAGTTGCTTTTAAGTCATTTTGAGGCTCAGTAACGCAGGACCAAAAGTCCTTATGGCTAACGACTCTTCCAGTAAAAGTCAATATGTGTGTTTTTCAAGCAAAAGAACTGGAAAATCTTCGGATCTAAGTTTATTCCCTGTGTCTTTGAAATGTCTTCCAATAGCAGATTGCGATTCAAATTTATCGCTAACTTCACAACATGTATCAATAGTATTAATTAAGATATCAAAATCCATATCTTTCAGTTTTGAAGACATGGTTCGTGCTTTGGCTCTTATCATAAGACCGTGTAGAAAAGTATTTTGTATTTTGATAGTTACTGATCTAGATGGCACTTTAACAACTTATAACAGGTGGCCCAAAATAAATCTCCTATTTAGTATTTTCTCAATATCTCGGTCAAAGTTGATTGCCAGGTCTCAATCTTCTTTTAAAAAATTTTTTATTTCATTCTCGGGCATGGATCAAGTTCCATGCCTTCTGAACTGTTGCTGCTATCTAGTCCTTCATTGACCGATCATGAGCAAAAATCTATAAAATATTAAGCCGTCAAACATTATGTCAATGAAACAAAAAGATTCTTATAAATGTGTTTTATTCATACAGTTTTACTTACCCTACACATTCTGTCTTTTTTTTGTAAAACTTAGGTTGTGAACTTTTAGTTATCGTGGGTACTACAATGATTCGATTGCTCCCCACGTTAAATAAACTGTGTTTACATTAAGGTACCACCCCCTCTTTTTTTACCCTCTTGGAAACTAGGGAAGCCGATGACAGACCGGGTTCTAATTTATACCAAAGACAGAACATCGAAAAAAAAAATCGATGTATTTTTGC